TATACATGTCATTCACCTGTTTGGTTAGAATTACCCCAACATATTTTATATTGTTTGTTGTACTTGTAAAGGGTGATGTTTCTCTGATCTCTTTCTCCATTATTTTTGTCTATATATAGTAGGGCTACTGATTTTTTTTGAGTTAATCTTGTATCCTGCCACTTTGCTGAAGGTGTTTATAAGCTGTAGGAGTTCCCTGGTAGAATTTTTTGGGTCACTTATGTAAACTATCATATCATCTGCAAATAGTGAAAGTTTGACTTCTTCCTTTTCAATTTTTATCCCCTTGATTTCCTTTTGTTGTCTTATTGGTCTAGCTAGAGCTTCAAGTACCATATTGAAGAGATATGGAGAGAGTGGACAGCTTTATCTTGTTCCTGATTTTAGAGGCATCACATTGAGTATCTCTCCATTTCGTTTGATGTTGGCTGTTAGTTTACTGTATATTGCTTTTATTTTGTTTGGGTTTGTTCCTGTTATCCCTGGTCTCTCCAAGACCTTTATCATGACAAGGTGTTGGATTTTTGTCAAAGGCTTTTTCAGCATCTAATGAGATGATCATGTGGTTTTTCTTTTTCAGTTTGTTTATATCGTAGATTACCTTGTGGGATTATCATATATTGAACCATCCCTGCATCCCTAGGATGAAGCCTACTTGATCATGGTGGATGATTTCTCTGATGTGTTCTTAGATTTGATTTGTCAGTATTTTATTGAGTATTTTTGCATCAAGGTTCGTGAGGGATATTAGTCTGTAGTTCTCTTTCTTAGTTGTGTCTTTGTTTGGCTTGGGTACCAAGGTAATTGTAGTCTTATAAAAAGAGTTTGGCAATGACCCTTCTGTTTCTATTATGTGGAACAATTTGAGGAGTACTGGTATTAGCTCTTCTTTGAATTTCTGGTAGAGTTCTGCACTGAAACCATGTAGCCCTGGCCTTTTTTAGTTGGGAGACTTTTGATGACTGCTTCTATTTTATTAGGGGTTATAGGTCTATTTAAATTGTGTTCTATATATGTCTGTTAAATCCAATTGGGCCATAATTTCTGTTTGTTCATTTGTTTCTTTGTTAAGTTTCTTTGTCTGGTGATCCCATCTAGTGGTGAGAGTGGGGTGTTGAAGTCTCCTACTATAAGTGTGTGAGTTTTCATGTGTGATTTGAGTTTTAGAATTTTTTTTCAAATGTGGTTGCCTTTGTATTTGGGGCATAAATGTTCAGAACTAAGACTTCATCTTGATGGATTTTTCCTGTGATGAACATGAAATGACCTTCTTCATCTCTCTTGATTGATTTTTGTTTGAAGTCTAACTTGTTAGATACTAGGATAGCTACCCCAGCTCGTTTCTTGGGTCCATTCCCAACTCTTTTCTCTAAGGTAACATCTGTATTTGAAGTTGAGGTACATTTCTTGTATGCAGCAGAAGGATGGATTCTGTCTTCATATTCCTTCTGTTAGCCTGTGTCTTTTTACAGGCTAGTTAAGACTATTGATATGGAGGGATATTAATGACCATTGATTGTTGATTCTTGTTTGTTTTGTATTTGTTGTTGTTGTTGGTATTGTGTGTGAATCTTCCCCCTCCTCCACTTTTCATTTGGCTTTTGGTAAAGTGGGATTATCTATTGCCTTTTTTTTTGTGAGTGTAGTTAACTTCCTTGGGTTGGAGTTTTCTTTTAAGTACTCTCTGTAGGGCTGGAGTAGTTGCTATGTATTGTTTAAATCTGGTTTTGTCATGGAATAGCTTGTTTCCTCTATCTATAGTGATTGAAAACTTTGCTGAGTATAGCAGTCTGGGCTGGCATCCGTAATCTCTTATTGTTTGTAGAATATCTATACAGGACCTTCTGGCTTTCAGAGTTTCCATGGAGAAGTCAGGTGTAATTCTATAGGTCTGTCGTTATATGATACTTATCCTTTTTCCTTCTCTGCTTTTAATATTCTTTCTTTATTCTGTATGTTTGGTGCTTTATTATGTGGTGAAGGGAGTTTTTTTGTGGTCCCCTTTGTTTGGTGTTCTGTAAGCTTGTTGTACTTTAATTGGCATGTCTTTCTTTAGGTTGGGAAAGTTTTCTTCTATGACTTTTGTTGAATATGTTTTCTGTACCTTTGATCTGGGTTTATTCACCTTCTTCTATCCCTATTATTCTTAGGTTTGGCCTTTTCATGGTGTCCCATATTTCCTGGATATTTTGTGTTAGGGATTTGTTTGGTGTGATATTTTTTTTGGTTAATGAAACTATTTCTCCTAGTGTATCTTCAATGCCTGAGATTCTCTCTTCCATCTCTTGTATTCTGTTGGTTATGCTTGTATCTGTAGTTCCTTACCATTTACACAGCTTTTCTTTTTTCACCATTCCCTCAGACTCTGTTTTTTTGTTTGTCGAGACATGGTTTCTCCATGTAGCTTTGTAGACCAGGCTGGCCTGGATCTCATAGAGATCCACCTGCCTCTGCCTCCAGAGCACTGGGACTAAAGGTGTGCACCACCATCACCCAGCTGACTTTTTTTTATTGTCTCCATTTTAGCTTTCAAGCCTTGAACTGTTTGAAATGTTTCCTATACTTGTTTGGTTGTTTTTTCCTGACTTTCCCTGCTTTCTTTAAGAGATTTGTTTATTTCTTGCATTTTTTTTTGGTTTGCATTTTCTTCTATTTCTTGAATTCTTTTGTTTGTTTTTTCTTTCATTTCTTTAGGGAATTTTCTCATTTCCTCTTTGAGGGTCTCTATCATTTTCATGAAGTTGCTTTTTAGGGTATTCTCTTCTGCTTCATCTACCTTTTGATGTTCAGGTCTTGGTGTGGAGTCCTAGACTCTGGTGGCATCATATTGCTCTTTCTCTTGTTGAATATGTTTTTATATTGTCTTCTTCCCATCCCTTCTTCCAGTGGGTTTTTTAAGGAGTCTATTCCTCTCCTGGTGGGTAAGGGACTAAGGTTCCCTTCCAGTGAGTGCAAACAGTTCCACTACTCTGCTGTCTCTCCTTTTCCCGTGGATGGAGGCACGAATTGTACTGGGGTATTGACACACTCTGGGTCTGCTGGATCCCACCAGGTTCGGATCCATAGTTTGCAATCCCCAGGCCTCAGGATTCTCCAAGTAGGGCAGAGCAAGGTGGGCAGGAAAGAGGGCCAA